CTGTGTGATTAATTGAACGGTTAAGTCTTTTTTGCTCTAAGATCATATACTGTAGTTAGGGGTGATAAACGAGTCAGGGTCCTTTGACTCGGCTCGTGAAGGCTCAGGCTTACATACCTAATATTGGTTGTTGGAATCAGACTTGGACTTGTATAAAAGTTCATTTAGTAAAAAAGCCTCAGGCTCCAATTCAAAAGCTCAGTCTTAGAGCCTCTCAGGCTGGCCTAGTATATTAATTTTTATTTATATATATATTTTTTATACTATTTGTAATAACTCTCTCTCTCTCTCCTTTCAATCCATTTCACTCTTATTTTATTAGTTAAACTGACTTTTTGAATGATTTTGTTTTATATTATGTTGTTTCGATATACATTGAATTTATGAATATTTATGGAATTACTATTGTTGTTGATTATATATTCTGTTTGGATAAATTTTTATTGTCTTATTTTTTTCTAATAGGCTAACAGACCAAATCAGGCTTTTATTTTTTGTAAATAAGCAGGCCACATGCCGATAATTATATTCGTAACAGGTAACAGACTTGGTAAGGCCGACACATTTAATCACAGGCTTAGCCTTTTAAGACCAAAGCTCGGCTCGGCTCGTTAACCCTACTAACTATAGTCAAATCCTTGATCTTAGAGCCTGATGACCTGTAATTGCATACGTTACAAGTTTAGAAATTGAAAGAATTTACCACTAGTATGTAGATCAACTTTCACAGTTTCTTTCAACTTAAACAATGGCCCCGATTTGAATACCAGCTGGGTTAAAATTTTAATAAATAAAATTTTGTCAAAATTAGTTAAGTAATTAATGAATGGATGGATAAATATGTAAAAAATAAAATAACTTAAATTATATTTTCTGTGTATAAAAAGTATATAAATTTTCAGCTTTCTAAAATCTAAACACTCCAATGACCCAATCCTAACGGCTAAGCGGAACTACAAAGTTACAATATTAACGAGAACCAAGTTGACAAAATGATATGATTTCTAGATAAAAAATATGAGAAAATATACTCTTATATTATAGAAGAGTATTTTTCTCTTCTACACATATAGAGCTTCTCTCCTATTCCATGAGATTAATAAAGTCCAAAAAACATATATGTTATAAAACTAAAGAATAATAAGAGAGAAAATTGGGACAAGAAGAAAGAAGAATAACATTATATTATATTGTGTTATCCATATAAGATTTGTACATGGTTTCTACTAATAAACCCTTTACTATAATCAGTTACAATGGAATAAATGAGAGTGTTGAATCCTCTTAATTACATATTATAACTCATACGAGTTACAAGAGCTATACATCATTCCTTTGGGGTTATGAACATTCATATAGTTATATTCTATAACACTCCCCTTTGGATGTCCGATAAAATAATATACCTCGTTAAAACTTTACTAAGAAAAACCTTGTGAAAAAAAAAAAAAAATCCCAATGAAAGGAAAAAGAGTATACACTTCTAATAATACGTATCGCAAGCTGTCTCGTTAAAAACCTTAGCACAAAGACTTAATTTTTACAAGTTAATTACCGTTATATTTAATTTAGGAATTTTATTTAATTTTAGGATTTTAGATTTTTAATTTTAAATTTTGGATCAATTTTCATTTAGTCTATAAAAGGGTGCTTATGACTAGAGGTGAAAGTGGGCTAGGCTGGACCAAGTTTTTCCCGAAAAGCCCAAACCTATATTAAATTTTTTTAATTTGGCCTGACCCAAGCCTAGTATGAGTCTAACTGGTAGCCTGACTTGACCCGTTTATAAAAAAACAAATGGTCTGGCCTAGCTCGTTAGCCTGTTAATTTTTAACTTCCAAGCAGAATCATGAACCAACTTTACAAAATACTCAAATTCTGTTGCCAAACCAAAAATCATAATTTCAACATCTAAACAGAATCATGAATCACAACAAAATTCATACAATCTGCATTTAAGTCATTTTCAAAAGCAAAATGCTCAAACTAAATAACATATATTTCATCAGATCCAACAAACAAATCCATACTATGTAAATTAAAATAACTACATGAATCGAACAAACACATCATAATGTTTGTGTAGATACAAAGTATGTTTTGATGATAACAAAGTGGCAAAAAAAAAAAGATTGTTTGATCAAGAGCAAAAAACATCATCCATATGTGGATATTGAAGATGTATGATGTAGCCACATAAGAAGAGTGATGTCATATCAAAGTGACAAGATCATTGGATCAAGAGCAACAATGAATAATTAGAAGAGCAATAACAAGATCAAAGACAACTAACCATGGACAACATCTAAGAGAAACTCAATATCATAACTATGGTGAAAAATGATCAAAACCAACAAAGTGTCAAACATTGTCATATTCAACAAGTCAAAGCATCAAGTTCAAGAAAAGATCCAAGACACAAGACATGAAGCTAAGTCTAAATTCATATTTAGAATATATCTTTAGGACTTAGAATATATGTGAGGGTATATGATAGATTGCATTGCATGAGCTCAAAGTTTTTCTCAAAGTAAATGTGTTTTTCAAATTGCATAATCATAACCTTTATATACTTGAAAGAAATTTGAAAAATTCATGGAAAAGATTCTTGACATATTTTATAACTTCAAAACATATTTATCAAGTCAAGATCTTTCACAAAAAGTAGTTGGAAGCAAGCTAGAACATTGAACTTAAAATTTGTTGCTTAATTTCGCTGCTGTCTTCCATACAATTTTTCGTATCTAATATGATGAATTTGGATCTTGTGTTCTTCATAAAATTGTAGATCTCTCTTTTATCTTTCCAAAGAGACCAAGATCACATCAATTCGACAAGTATAACTCAAATTATAGCCAAAATACGAAACAATATTCTTGTTGTCAAGTTGGGAATCAACTACCACTGTAACAGATCCCAACGGCTATAAAACGACTAGTTTTTCAAAAGTGGTCCCAACGGCTATAAACAACTATAAAACGACTAGTTTTTCAAATGAGATCCCAACGACTATAAACGACTAATTTCCCAACGGTTATAAACGGCTAGTTTTCCAAAGGCTATAAATGGCTAGTTTTCAATGAAAACACTATATATGCATTCACAATGACTCAAAAAGATTGGACATCATTTCTACACATATTAAGCATACTTTGAGAGCTTCTACACTATCATTTGCATATTCTTTCATTTCTTTCAAAGATCAAACATATTTGAGCTCATATCTTGAAAATTCATATACCCATAGTGCTTCAAGTTGTATATCCACACTTTGAGAGTGTATATTCATTTCTAAATATTTCCCTCCTTGTATTCTTGAGTTGAAAGGGTTGTGAGACCTATTGTTTGAGAGGTGGCCAAATACTTAAGTAAATTTGGAGTGAATTGTAAGGTTACCAAGTACCCGTAAACTTGGAGATTGAAAGGTATCCAAGAACCCGAAGTCTTGAAAGTTGTAAAGGTTTGTCAAGAACCCGTGAAGCTTGACCATTAGTGAAAGAGTTGATCGAATGGCTTCAGCTTGACCATTAGGTCATAAGTTATGACCCTTATCATAAGAGAAGAATTTTGCTATTTTGATAAATAGAAATTGAGAACTTAAGAAATTTTAACTTTCTGTTTAGCCACTTTTCTATGCGCTTTCGATATCATTTGGTATCAGAGCACTATGTTGCCTTCAACCAATGGCTGAACAGAATAGTGAAGGTCATGGGTGGCAGAGTCGTGAAGGCAAGGGAGCGACTACTTGAGCAGGCGTTGGACAAGAAAATCCAAGTTTTGAAGCGACTACTTGTGCAAGTGCAGAGCAAGAAAAATCAAGATTTGGAGTGACAACTCATGCTAGTACATAGAAAGAAAATCCAAATTTTGAAACCACAACTTGTGGAGGCGCAGAACATGAAAATCCAAGATTTAGAACGGCGACTTACGCGAACAAAGTTGGGTATTTAATCCGAAGAAGGAATAAAATAGACGACATATCTGATGACGAAAGAACGACATCAATCCTTTTTGGATTATAAATCAGGGACAAAATTGGAAAGTACAACCTGAAAATCAGTCCACTTTTCAAGATATCGAGATGCAATTCAACATTTCTGACTTTCATGTCTACGATCATAACACGGTTTATTATGATTATCTCATTTATGATTATTATCCATCTTATGATGAATATTCAGTTTATAATGATAATTCAGTCTATGGTAAATATGACGATGAAGATCTAACAAAGGAAGATAAATCAATTGTGTTTTTACCTAAAGAGATGAATATCAGTGAAGATAAAGAAGATTCGAGGACGAAATTTTTCCTAACATGAAAGAATAATGAACTTACAAGTAAGTGCTGACATTCTAGGACTTGTTAACGTTGTTGTTGGATCCCCGCTACAAGCAAGTGTTGTGCATTGCTTGAGGGTTTAGCAGATTTGGATGCAGCACGTTGCCTTTATTTTTTTCTTAATTATAATAATGAAGTGAATGGCACTAGTAAGTAGTAATGGTAGAGGTAAGATATATTAGCTTCAACAAGTGAAGCATAAATTCTGATACAAGGAGTAGGAATAGAGACAAGATCTTAAGAAATTTTTGGAAATTATTATTTAATTAAATGAATTCAATGTTAATTTTTAAAATAATAACTGTATTATTTAAGATCTTAATTATTATATTATAATTATTATTTATGTGAAGTGAAAATATAGATATAATTGATTAAATTTTTTGGGAGTGGATATTTTTCCAATAAAAAATTACAGAATCATCATTATTAATTAATTCATAAATAATTAAAATCTTCTCACATCAAATAGATCGCATATATTTTTGAAATAAATTGTGTCACGATATCTTTAGTTGCGGTTATTTTCGAAAATAATTTTAAAGCCTCATTTGATGGGTAGTTATTTTTAAATTTGCATTAAATATGTAATTAGGATTGTGAGTGGTGACTATTTGAATTTTAATGGATTAAAGAAGGTAGCCCAAATAAGTCCAAAATAAAAAACAAAACCCCAATTTCACATACGCTGAACGCTCTCAACACGGTCGCTGAGGCACGACGCAGAACGCAGAAATAGTTCTTTGAGCTCACTATTTACTTTGAAACTGAAAGTATGTACACACACACATTGGTGATATTTTGTAGATTGGCATGATTATTCTCATTACTTACCCTTTTTCGATATTACTTAACAATCAGCAGTTAAATTCGGTACAAGTTAATGGGAGTGATAAAGGATGGCACAATCTCAGGGGTTTTACCGGACCCTCAGGGTTTTATCGTGCACTATCCTGGTTATCCATCATCCATCTCACGTGCCGTTGACACACTTGGTGGAATTCAAGGCATTCTTAAGGTGCATGCCGTTGCCGATTACGATTCACATTTTTTTTTCTTTCTTTCTTCACACTGATTGCAATTATGGCTTTGCGTCACATATTTTATAGGCTCGCAGTTCGCAATCAAACAAATTAGAACTCCATTTTCGCCCTCAAGATCCATATTCACACCCTGCGTTTGGGGAGCTTCGTCCTTCCAACGCTTTGCTTCTCAAAATATCAAAGAGAAAACCGATCGATGTTCATGATGCCAATCACGTGTCTAGAAGTGGAATGGAGAATGAGATGCGAACAAATCAACCAGAAATTGAGCATAAGGATGCTGATGATGTTAATGGAGAGGCAAACCTTTGTGCTGATATTGTTGCTCATGTTCCTGAGGCTTATTTTTTTGAAGGTTAGAAAACTTGAAATGGACTTGATTTTGGTGATTTTTTTTCGTTTGGAGATTAATTAGCAAATTTAACTGGTTCCTTTTGTTTTTTTGTGTTTTGAATTTATGAAGGAATGGCAGACTACCAGCATGTTATTCCTGTTCATGCGGATGTTGCACGGAGGAAAAAGAGAAACTGGTCGGAATTAGAAGAACCGCACTTTGGTGAGTATTTTTGTTTTGATGTTTCCGTTACTTCAATTTACTGTTTGAAGTGTTTTTTTACAGTGGTTAGTTTACCAAGTTAGTGTGGTTTGTGTTTGTGTACTGTCATAGATAAGGGTGGGCTGATGGATGTGGATCATGAGGATGTTATGATGATAGTGCCTCCACTTTTTGCTCCAAAAGATGTGCCAGAAAATTTAGTGTAAGTTTCTCTGACATTTCTTGTTTTGTGATCACATACTTATTTTTTGAGAGAAAAGTCAGGGATCACCATGGATCATGCCATCCAGTATACAATACTATAATTGTGTAGGACTCATTCAAGTATCTTGTACATACCAAGAAAATGATGACATTGACAGTTTCAATCTTGATGATGAGGAATTATTTGTTGAGTTGCTTAAGTAGATATTAAGTAGTTCCTTTATAGTTTTTGTAATTTTGTTAGTTTATAATCATTATATAGCTTGTCGTGTTGCGTACATTTATAGTACCTTGCCTTTGTGATACCCTTCGGTGGGGCTTTACTTTATTTTTATGTCTTGTACATGTGTATATATATATATGTATGTTCTGTACAATTTTTTTCCGTAGTTAGATTCTTAAATTGAAGTATTTAAAATCTTCATATCGTCATGTCTTTTTTCTCTGCTGAAGGAGTGGGAGGTGGAGATGAAGTTTAGACCTACTATAGTATTTTCCCTTTAATTATGTTATATTATTCTATTTAGTTATCTTTTTATTGCAACGTTTTCACTAGTTTTCCTTGTAAAGTTTTGACTTGCAATTTTATCTTGCCTTGACTTTACTTTGAAGTGATTTAGTCTTTCTCTTATTTCAGCTTGAGACCACACACTGAGTTGAGTTCAAAAAAGAAACAAGAGGAAATTTTACAACCCCATTTCGAGGTAAATTTAATTCACATTAATTTCTTAATGGGATGTAGGCATAAAATTTAATCCTTTTGGTATATTAATATATACCAGTAACCTTTGCTAAGTAGTGTTAATTGATCTTTGGATCTCTATGACTAGATAAAAAAAGCTCTCATGTCTCTTTGACTATCTCTCAGTCTCAGATTTACTTGTTTGAAGATTCCTCAATTTGAGTCACTTCTTTCATTTTTTTTATTTTTTAGTAATTAGTCTTGCCCCATTTGTTGATTGTACAACTTTCAGTCATTCTGTCATTGCATTCATTTTAAACATGTTAATACCTTTTTCCATGGGCAGAAAAAGAAACTAAATTAATGAGAAAAATGGTAAGATACAACTAGAGGAGAACGAAAAAGGTCCTTCAAAACATAAATTAGAGAATTGAACAAGAAACAAAAAAAACTCAAGAATGCAGCAAAGCTTTGGGGGCAAAGAAACACCTTTAAAGATGTGAGCATTTCACTTCAATCATGTTCACCAAAGGGTTACATACATCAGCCACTGCCACAAAATATTTGTCTCCTTGTCTTTTCTTTAAAATGTCCCAAAAGAAACTGCTCTAAAGTAGATGGACACACCATATTCTGATTGAGAATCCTGTAAACATTTTTTTTAAGGAAAAGCACCACCTTTCTCAGAATGCAAAGTGGAAATATTTCCTGAAACTCATATGGATGAAGATTATATTGGATGAAATGAGGATAAAGTATGAAACTCCTATGAAGTTATTTTGTGACAACAAATCTGCCATAAGCATTGCCTATAATCCGGTTCACAGCATGATAGAACTTAACATTTTGAAATAGACTGCATTTCATGAAGGAGCAGTGAGATAGTGGATTGAACAACACAACTTATGTTTCTTTAGAGATTCAGCTAGCAGATGTGTTAAATAAAAGACTTCCTACAGAGAGGTTTTAGGATCTTACCGGCTAGGTGGGAATGATAGATACTCATTCACTGGCTTGAGGGGGAGTGTTGTAATAAGTCCCACATCAGTCCAGTACACTTCACATAATATTCTCTGTAGATTATTGTAATTGTGGTAAAATATTCCGTTACCATAGTTTAGCCATTAAAAAAATTAGAATGGATTATATTAGAAAAATAATTATTTAGTTAGGTTTATAGATAATAGAATGATCCCCATGTACAGTATTATTCAGTCATTTTCCCATTCTAAGTATAAAAGTCAATTTGGTGGCTGCTTTCAGCTAGTGATGGGAAAGATAGAATTTTGACAATATGCAGGTACTGGACGACATATAACTGATAACAATTAAAACGGATTATACATATTTTCATTTGGGTGGCATTAGTCATATGCAATGTTTTTAGCAAGGAAACTTACTTGTTGCAATGTTGTGTGCAGCTGGACATGGAGGACACAGAGCCAGTTCTTGCAATTGATTTTGACATTAAAGATATCCTTTTCTCAATTGGTATAACCATCATATTTAAAACTTATTGAAGTTGAAAAGTTTTACATGATTATAACATGCCTAATTTTTTTATTTTTGCTCCTGTGAATGTAAGAAAGATCTTTCTTGCTTAAATTTACTGACATAGTATATATTGGAGTCCATAATTAAACATGTTGAGAGAATTTTTAATATGATAATAGCTTTGCCATTGACCTGCGAATTTCCTTTCAAAAATATTTGAATTACATTTGAATCATTACTTGACTATTTTTACATTTAGGAAATTTTTATTTTTATCTCTTTCAACAGAGTCCTTGCCAATTTGTACTATTTTAGAATATCATTTCCTGTTAATTATTCTTTTCTATTGGGGGAATGCTAGGCTGCTACTAAATTTTTTCATTTTCATTTCTATAAACTTGTAGAAAGCTTTGTTTGTGTTAATATTTCTTTCACTTTTAGAACATAATTTTGATTAAAGGTAGCACAACAAAAATATCTTTGAGAATATTGCAACGAAATTGCAATTTTGTGGTTCTGGGTTTCTTTAGCTTTCTTACATATTCCTAAAAAAGTGAATTGGGAGGAATACATACCACGAGGTTCAGATCAGTGGGAGTCACAAATGGTTGTATCTAGATTGTTTGATGAGAGGCCTATATGGTCCAAAGTTTCACTTACTGAACGCTTGCTTGATAAGGGCTTAAGCTTTTCCCATGGCGGACTTAGAAGGTGAGTTGCGCAAATTCTGCCAATTAGCTTTTTAATTTACGGCAATTGAATCTTGATAATTATGCAGTGACCTTCCATTCTCTCTTACAGGTTTCTATCTAGAATTTCTTACTACTTTTCCAGTGGACCATTTCTAAGGTTCTGGATCAAAAAAGGATATGATCCACGCAAAGATCCTGATTCTCGCGTGTAAGGCTTACTCCTGATTTCTAAACAATCTCTTGGATTTTAGTCATACATTTGCACTCAAAGCGTTAGGTTCCTATAATAAGGAGATTTCCGATGTATTGTTGAGTTTGGTGATATTATTAGACTACCATTATGCTGAGTTATCATGTTATTCTTATGTCATAAGAAGAATAGGGCTGTTTGAATACTATTTTATTGTTTTTGCTTGTTAGGATGCGAAAGCATCCCTGGCTGTTAATGAATGTTATTGTTATTGTTACTACTTTCTCGTAAATCGTGATACCTTATGTCTATTTGGCATTATCTATGAACCATTGTATATCGACAACAGATTGGGCTGTAACTGTTTATTTACTCTACAGTTTGGTTAATAGTTTGCTGAGGTGACAAAAATTTTAGTGTCACATTTTGGAAACAAAGGATGTGCTTGGTACTGTTGAAGGTAATTGGCAGTGATGAGAAAATCTTAGAAATCATTATTTTGCATTCCATTTTATTTCTATTTCCCCATCTTGGCTCTGTTTAGCGAAGAGGTGACAAGAGTTTTTAGTGTCACAGTTTGGAAACAAAGGATGTGCTTGGTACTGTTGTAGGTAATTGGCAGTGATGAGAAAATCTTACTAATCATTAGTTTTCCATTCGATTTTATTTCTATTTCCCCCTCCTGTCTCTGTTTAACATAACCTAATTTTTTTTTGGTTAACTTTCTCAATGCTGGATGATGTAGGATAGTATGACCTGGAATGCCCTGTTAATTTGGAGGATTAGCTTTGAATTTTTGGTGTGTTCTGTTATTAGGTTTAAAAAGTAAGCCATGCAACTTGGGTTGTTTTCTTGTGGAAAATTAAGGTGACTTCACTTAGGTGGTTGCATTGCCTTAATTCTAGCTTCTTTACGTAGGATTCCACTCTACTACTTATCTTTCTTTTGCATTCAAACTGCGGTGTTTCAAAGGATTGAAAGATTATGTAGGATTTTCTCTAGGATGAGAGATGTTTGGGTTGTGGCAATTTGATTAAGAGCATCTGGTCCCTAGTACGACCATATTTATGGAAATAAGTGCACTGAACTTGAGATCCATGATTATTCCCATCATTGCGAACACCTTCGTTACCTCCTCTGTTTGTTTTTTGAGGCATTGACCAATGACTCAGTGGTTATCCACCAGAGCAGTGATGCACCACAATTATAACAAACACATAATTTAATGTGGGTGTACCCTCTCAACTTGGATAAATTTCTTCTGAAAAGCTTATAGGTTTTTCGTGAGACCAAGGTAGTGTTATCTATTCTATTCTTTTGGTGCATTTGGCTATAGTCGTTTTTCAAGAATTCTTTTCAGCCCTTGGATCTGATTTGGGACAGGATTGAATTTATGGTATGGACAGATTAAGGTGTTTGTCCAATATCTCTTTAGGAGAGTCTCTCTCACAGATATGCAAACAGACTGGCAGGCTTTTTTTTGTCCCTTTTTTTTTTTTGTCTTAATGAGTTTGTTTTGTCTTTTCGCTTGGTTTGTGCTTCTTTTTCTTTTTTTTGGAACTCCACAATCCACATCGTATTGCTAATTAGGCTTTACTCCATTCAGATTCATATTTTACCAACCCCAATAAACCTCCAAGAATGTTCGCATATAAAAATATTGAGTCTTTACTCACCTGTAAATACAAAATAAACATGAATAATTTATACATTTTTGTCAGGGTCCTAATAACGCAGAATCTTCATTATTTCAAGTATTTTACTGAATTCTTTTTGGTTTTATTAAAAATAAAAGATTGGGTCTTTAATCTATTGACTAGGTTTAGATTTTTGGTTCTGCAGTTATCAAAGAATCGATTATCGAGTACCTGTCCCATTACGAAGTTACTGTGATAATCACTCAGCCAATAAGTAAGTCCTTTCCTTCATTTTATCTCTTGCTTTACGAATCAAGGCAGTTAAGTATAACTTGGAAGCAACTCCATACATGTATATGCATAAGAAAGAGGAAAATGAAAATAGAACTGCAGATTAATATATATAGATAGACACACGTGAAGACAATGAGACCCTAGAACTTTTTTTACAATCTCAATTAAATTTATTTGCAGACTTCCAAGTTGATAAAACATATCTGGGTATTGTCACTATATATATTATTAATTTGTGTTATTTATTTATTTGTTAAGTCTATTGTTTCATGCAGATTTAAACATAGATGGGAGGATATATGTGCCTTTCGAGCTTTCCCTTACAAGTTCCAGACATCTTTACAGTTATTCGAGCTTGTTGATGATTATATTCAATCAGAAATAAATAAGCCTCCATTGCAGGCAACTTGCACCGTAAGTTTTTCATATGAATCTTTATTTAATATCGCACGTGTTATGTTTGACATACTTAACATTGCCCACACAATTAAGAGACAAACATGGTTTATTCTGCTTTTCATATGTTTCATATTTTTCTTATCCCCTGGCATGAAGGTAGAGCCCTACTGTGGTTACCTAGGAGTGATGCAGAATTGCTTATTTTTCCTTTTTGCTTGAATAACCAACGAAGTCACTGTTTTATTATATAGAATTTTGTTCTGTTCTGAAGTTTTGTGCATATTGAGTAGCTGTAATTTATGTCATAACAAATAAAATATATGAAAATTTGCTTGATTTTATCTTTCATGCATGAAGTTACTGTAAGAAATTTCATTAACTATTTGATTTACATCTAACATGCTAATTTTGCAGTTTGGATCTGGGTGGTTCTCCAACCACATGATCAATTGTTTTAGACAACGTCTCATGGTGAGGTTCCTAACAATATTCCCCAAGCCTGGCGCAGAGAATTTACTCAGAGCTGCCACTTCAAGGTTTGAAAAAATGAAGAGGGAGTGCACTAGGAATGCTATGAAGCTTGATGGAGAGGATTGCCAACAAGCTAATTCAGGTTATGTCACCTCTTTTTCAGTCATGATTCTTTGTATTCATATTGCTTTAGAATAGCAACAGAGTCGACAAATTATTGCCACATCCAATAACATGATTTAAGTAGAAATGAGAATCAGTCAACTTCAAACCTCACCTGTTAAGAGCTAAATTTAAACTTTACTGCGTTCCTAGGTCTCTAATACCCTTATACTTTTCAATAAGGCCCTACATAGTACTTATTTTGAGTATTATATTGTAGAGGGATTAAAGGGAAACGGACAGAATTATGCTGTAATGGGTAAACTGTGTGGCACAGTCTTCCTATGTATATATACTACTAGGTTAAGAGTGTAATACAACGCAATAGAAAGTACATCTAGAGCAATGCCCATATACTCTCAACAACCTAAGACAACTCTTAACTCTTAACATATATGATCCAACATAGTAAGGGAGAATTCATCTAGTTTCCTCTGAGTGAAAGTTTTCTTGTTTGTTTCCTCTGAGTGGTTATTCGTAGCAGAATATGGAGCTATGGTTAAAATGAATTTTGGTTAATTTGTTATCTAATATGATTATGAACCAAATTGGAAGTTTTTTTGTCACAAAACCAGAATTTAATATCTTTTCCAAATAAAAATTACTATTTGCTGGTAATTGAGCAATTATGGATAAATTTTTTGTATCTGTAACCCAGGTTTGGAAGAGAATGAGGAACCTGACAATGTTGAAGATGACGAAGAGGAGGCAGCTGAGGTTAATGATAGTGATGAGGAATGGGAAGAAGAACTTGATCTGGTAATTCTTATCTATATTTTCTGATTTTATGTTTTTCTCAATAGAATGTTCTAGCAATGGCTTTTAAATCGGATATTTTTTTATTTATTCTGTTGACTTGTGTAGGGTGGAGATAGTGAAATGCCTCTGCCGTCTAATTCTTGTATCCTTTTCTATTTGAACTCTAAATTTGCTATTAAGTTTAAAGATAGAACCGTCATTATTGCATCGCACAAGTTTATCTGATGAGGATGCAACTAGAAGATTCTGAATCCCGTAGTTTAGGCTACCTCACTGCTGCACTTTTAAATTTTGCATGCATTAAATTAATGTTTCACATTGTTAAGCTAGTAGATTAGACTAGACATTGAACCCGCAGACTAGTCTTCTTGTTGTGTCTGGGTTCATGTCTCCTGACTCTGCCACCACTTACGGAAATATGAAGATATCCATGACGTATTTTTTGCAGCTGGTATAGTACATAGCTAGGTAGGTGCTGAGAGGGAAGATGGAATTGTCTTGTAAGTTAGGTCTCACTGAGCCTCTCAAGTACATATACTCCCTTTAGTATAACCTTAAATGAAAAAATAAACTCCTCGTTAGTATTTCCATCTGTACCACAGCCTTGCTCCTTGCCCTTTATGCAGTTCCAAACGCAAGGAAGTTGGAAATAATATAAAGGTTGATACTCGTATTTTCAGGATTTTGAAAAATTGAAATGTATGTAGATTAGAAATAAATGCTTGTTGTGGCCACTTATGTGTAGCTCAGGTGGTTAGACTGGGTGGAGATTTGAGTAAGAGTTGTAGGTTCAAGTGTTGGTAGTGTCGTATTATTTTTTGACACTAACCCTCGAACACTGTTGCAACTAGGAAGTCTTACCAAGTCTTTTTCTAGGGTTTGAACTTAGATTGTCTCCCTGGGAGTGGAGCCAACTTCTTCATGTACCGGAGAAATGACAAACCTACTTTAATCACATTCCTTTTTTCTATACTAGAGTAAGGAAATCAGAAAAAGGACTCAATGTGATACTACAATTAAAATGACATGTATCTTGATTTTTCTTGTATAATTTTGATGGCTAAGTCGATTGTTAGATTTCTCAAATATCAAAGATCTGCTGGCACTTTTGAATTCCTTTACAATGTTCAGATCTCATGGAGAATATTTCAAGGACCCATTTACAGGAGCTTTTTGGGAGCTTTCCCTCTAATGAAATTAACGGTGACAATGCGCAAGTAAATGCTAGTGACGAAGAATATCACGTATACGAGGAAGATAGTGACGACAACTGCTCTGATGAATGATTATTGATTGTTGACATTCAGAATTATCAGATAGGCAGATCTCTTCCAGAGTTGTTACTGGAAATTTTGCTGTTTAGTTTAGAGGAGCATCAGTGTTTTCTGAAGTTAACATGGAAGGGTCAAATATCATCTTAGATTTGTTCAGTATAGGGAAAAAATATATATTAAGCAATACAAAGAAAACAAGAATCAAAGATAAAGTGTAGTGATATAAGAACCGAATATCTGTATAAAATGTTTATGCAATTCTAAATTTAAATTGAATAACTATTTATTATTCAACAATTTTATTTTATTAATTTTCTCCCAACAAAAAACTACTTTTGTACTTTATTTCTATTGTTTTTATTGTCTTTTGTTTCTATATGGGTTATATAATGATATTTCAAGTAAAATTTTAGGTTTTAGCATATATTGTTTGTTGGATCATCAGGATCATCAAATGATCATGAAGTTCAGGTATTTGCTCTTTTAGAAAAGATCAAAAGAGATTGGATCTTCAAGCATTAAAGGTCATACACGTTTGATATATTTAGCCATATTAAACATTGTGATTGTTTGGTTTAGATTGTTATGTTATTCATAATTATTATAATATTAAATTTATTGGAGGGTTATATTAACAAACTTTTTTTTTTTTAAACTTACAAGTTACACTGTGTTACCAGTAAAACTTGACTCAAGAATGTCTTACGACTAAGACATAGTATAATTTGTAAGAGTTTGTAAACAAAAAGTTTGTAAATATAATCTTTTAAATTTATTTCACCATGATTTTGGATTAATTGTTGGGTTAAGTGTGTGTCCTTTTAATTTTTTGCATTATGTATATATATTTACAATACGAAAAGTTATTCTTTTTCTCTCTTCACGTGACTCAGGAGACAGATTTTTTTTTTTTTTTTTTTATATTATAACTATGTATTACCCGTAGTACATAGCGTTAAAAATTAAAAGGACACAATTTGTATCATTTAAAAGAACAAACCTTTTTCTCTTAATTTTTATAGTAAAATAGTATTTTGATGTGTAGAAATATATCTCACTTTTATTTTTTAGTAGATAAAATATATGTCACTTTTAATTATTCAAACTCATTTTGTTAATCTTAAGCAAAAATAGCAAAAGGACTGTTGAAATATGAATTCGAATAACCTAAAGATTAAATTCTGATAGAATCTAAATTAATGATAAAATTGCAAGTGATATCAAAATTCTAATTGCTTTTTTATTTTTTTTTCATGAGATAAAGGAATACAGGGGCTTTTACCAAAAAGAAAAAGGAATACAGGGGCAAAGCAATCCGTGGGGAAAAACATTACTTTCGGCCTTGACATATAAATATGGGCATGTTTGATTGTGTTTTTTTTTTCTTAAAACTATTTTTTAGAATAATTAATGAAATAAGTATTTTTTGTAATTTTTTGTTTTGAAAGTTAAAAATCAAAACACAAAACATAAACAATTTAGATATGTTCTCTAAATTCAATTCTAAAATTTAAAAAACAATTATATTTTTTAGAATTATTTTTACAAAACAGAAATTATTAAACAGACTTTTTATTTTTATTTTTTAAAATTAAAAAATTGTTTTTGAGAACTGAAATTCCAACATGCCAATATACTGCTTCTTAGCATACCTGGTTATGAACAGGTGGGTTCATGACTTTTCTGATGTTGTCTTTGGCAAAAGAAGTATATGGCCTAATAGGATAGACCGATAGAGTACAGAAGAAAATGAGCCGAAACGAAATTGGTGTCAACAATAACTAATCAATTGCTTCAACCATTAGCAGCCTTTGCCCATACTCATTATCTCAGCCCAAAGAATGAACCAAATCGTACATTCCTTATTTCTAAGTATCAACCGGGGAGTTTTTTTCCCCCGAGTGGTTACATAAGACCAAAAAATAAAAATCTCATATTCATGGGACGTTTGGTAGAGAAGAAATTTTTTTTGTCCGGGAATCTCGATTTTCAAAAATATGATTTTTACATTCAATTTATGATAATATTCAAAAATTTAAAATTTAGAAAAAATCAGTTTTCCGAAATCCTGTCAAAAGCCACGTACCAAATGGACCCGGGAAATAATTTTACCGGAATGTGATTGGAAATATTTTATTCCGGATAAGTTACAAAAATGTGTTTGGTTGACTAAAATTTATCTCAGGAATATTTGATTAAGTTTAATGAATTGATGTTTGGTTGAATGTGAAATAGTAGTAGGAATGTGAGTTATTTTACAAACATAACCCCACTTTTACTTTTTTATTCAAAATTAGTACACAAAAGGTAGGGTTAATTTGGTCAATATTATTTTAGCTGCTTTTTACTTTTCCATGCAAAAAATTATCCCACCTAAACTTTGGGTTTTCTAACAACATAACCATACAACAATTTACACGTAGCAACAAAAATCAGGCAAGTTTTTTACCAGGGAAAGATTTGCATTTGTTGCAACCAAACATAACATTTTAATTTTCCATACGAAGCTTTCCAAGAAATTTCAATATAATCTGAGTAACAAACAGCCCCTAAATGCATCACTTCTTTCCCGACCCTTCCCCAACTTCACTATTTATAATTTTGTATTTACGTTCTTGCTAGTTGGTGGTCGAAGAAATTTTTTGCAGTTAACTGATGAGAATGTGATAAATATGGTTACACATTCTGCTTTGCTAGTGCCTTTACCAATTGTCTGAATATATGGTTAAGTAACCGGTAGCTTTAGCTCCAAAACTTCGTAGTCACACTCATCTGATCTTAAGTGTGGTTTTTCTGTTTCGAAAATCTTAGGTGTATATTATAATGTGAAAATAAATAATCATTTAGAATAGTTATTCAGTTCAATTTAATTGTTCATTCTGAACGAAAAAACCAATTTATTTTTTATTTTATAATGTGAATTTTTCCTAAAATATGAGTTTCCTTTTTTAAGTGCTCAACTTACCTTATTCTAGCTAAAAACAGATTAGATGATTCCTGTATGCCGTTGTGCACAACTATAAACACAATAATTATTTAACTGATGGGACCAATCGAGATGGGGTGATGGATATTAGCCCATGAGTTAGATAGCAGACAAGAATATTGCCACTCTGAAAGTGACTAGAAAATGAAGTTTCCGGGGTTTGGGAGAAAGGGAAGGGATGAGTATGACAGGGATGGCTATTATAACCAACGAAATGGGAGAATAAAAGCAGATACTTGGGTGGGCTATTCAGTTTTTTGCAGAAAGAACTTGTATGTTATATAGTCCAATGGTGTGTTTATTAACTAATAGATTGTATTCTTAAGTTATTTTTGGAACATAGAAATTCGTTAAATGACAATCTATTAAATAATAAATTATTTAAACACATTGAGTCTGAGTGATAAGTTTAAAATCACAATGGGTGAAAATAATTTTTTTCTAATTTTTAAACAATCATAAAAAGTCATCAACATAAAATGTAAGTTATTAGTAAAATAAGTATACCATGACTATAGAGAGATGGACAAGTAGCGTCATTAAAAGTTATGAAAATATGATAGTCTTTTAAAAAATAAAAGATGATGAAAATGCCGAAATGGAAAGAAATGGGTACTATAAAAAAAAAAATTCATCGAGCAAAAAAAAAAAAAAAAAAAAAAAAAAAAAAAAAAAGAAGAATGTACAGTTGCAGCAATAATAAACTCTCTTTACAAGTAGAAAATGTACAAGGTCTATACAATCCTCTAATATGCAGATGGCATATTTGGACTTAAATTCTAAACTACACATGCCTAGCTATCATATTCAACCCCAGGGAGAAAGTATATTCAGAAAAGACACTCGAGTATTAATAAGGTGCTTAAACAAGCAATCCAATCCATTTTCAATTCCTTCAATGACTACCACCAAAGCTTCAAGCTCTCTATGAGCAGATTGAATCTTCTCAGCCTCAAAATCCTTGATTGTGTTATCCATAACCATTCTGCAAAGTGCCAAGTCCACCTTTTCCAATTCATTTATATTTTCCTGTTGATTGTTACATTGAAGTGCCCCTTTCCGCATGAGTTTTGAGACAAATGCCCACTTATTAAGCCTCCACTTGAAGATTGGTGGAGAAAGAAATGCCACTAGTGACTGAAAGATTAAGCTGGTGATCAAACTAGCTTCTCTAAGAACCCTTACAACTGCAGAGAGGTGGTGATTAAGATCTAGGGAAGGAGAAGAAGCTCCAAATGACCCATCTATCTGCTTCAATAAAAGGAGAGATTTTGTACATCCCTTTATTGTGTTTCTTCTGAGACTCCAATATGAAGAGATATGGGTTTCAATCACTATGTCTCCAACCTTTCTCCTTCTAAGTGCTGATTGAAGTTCTCTAACATTTCCTTTCATTAACATTATAGCATCCCTTGTTTCACCCAATATGTCCAAGAATCTTACAGGGTAATCTAACAACTCATCAACCCATTTCTCGTTTTGGTGATGGGCTAGTGCTTGTTGGGTCAGTGACAATTTCAAAAGTTCTTCTACGAACTTGTACAACTCTGCAAGACCACGTAGACCAAAGCAAATTTTTTCCACCTTTGAGGAAGATGATGATGATGATGCCTCCCAAGACTCAAGCTTTTGTAGCTCCTCTTCAATTCGAAGTGTGCTTGGATGTGATCTAGTTGGTAAGCTAATAGATCGAATTCTATAACTACAAGAACGCTTTTGTGAAAATGTAGCCATAGTTGCCCTTTTCATCATAGTATAATAAAAAGGGTGCTTATAAGTTTGATTATTATTGATCTTCTCCTGTGTGGAGCAGAGGAAGAGAGAAGACCAAAGTATCTAATAGGTCATGATGCCAATTGGATATTTAACATGTGAAGGCAGTGTGTGGTTTTTTTTCTATGTTGTGTGGGTTTTACATGTTGCTGTCACGTCTTCCACCAGCAACACAATTAAGCACTCATATATTTTAAAGACTAAATAACTTTTTAGTCCCTAACAAAAAAACGCGGTTCCCACTTTAGTCATTTATAAAAATAAATTAGTCAGTTAGTTTCTAACAAATTCAAAGTGAACCCATTTAGTTGAAATCGTGGTCCCTCACAAATTCAAAAAAGACCCATATTAGTCCCTCAAAAGGACTAAAATGGATCCACTTTGAATTTGTTAGGGACTAACTGACTAATTTATTTTTGTAAGGGACTAAAGTGGAGACCGTATTTTTTTTTGTTAGGGACAAAAAATAATGTTTACTCTATTTTAAATGAAAACCCACTCTATGTTACATATATATGGTGTAAGGTGCACCTCATAACTTTGTTATGCTGTCTATTTACAAAAGATTCAAAAGGCCATTCCCTGTCTCTGTCTCCATGTCTACCATGAACCTAATCCAACGTTCATGATCTCCTTGTCTAGCAAAGTTCTGTGTACTTGCATTGAGCTATAGGGTTGAAGATATATCAATATATTTATTTAGTATTATTTCCCCCCCCCCTATTGTTATAGAGTTAGTGGTTAAAGAATGGCAAAAAATACTTATAATTTTCAATTTTACTAATGGCACGTCGTTACATTGTTCCTTGTAAGGATTGTAATAATGTTTGTTGCCCTTTATGTGTTTACATGAGTACAAAGTGATACGTACAAATTTGGGTAGAATTAGTTGGAATAAAGTAATAAAAATAATACAAATATAAAATAATGTGTGTTAAAATATGCATACATTGCCTTCGCATGACCAAAGAAATGTTTGGTTGAGGAAATTTTTTTGGAATAGTAGAGAAATGAGATAGATAGAGAAATGATTAGAAAGATAGATAAAGTGAGATAGGTAGAAAAATGTAAAAAAAAGTTGTTTGGTGGAGAAAAACTTTACTGGAAAAATTAGGTCACTTTATGAAATCAACAGTGCATTAAAAGCCAGATAACCAGTTTTCCGAAAAATTCCACCTTCAAATTGGGTTTCTAAACAGTGCGGATATCTATTTTTCTCATAAATCCAGACAAATTAGATAGATGGGTTTTTGATGAAAAACGTTGAAACGTGTTTCTAAAAGTCATACTTGAAAAAAATAGATATCCGCTGAAAAAACTCCCAACCAAACACCACCTTAAAGTTAATGCATGTATTGCTGATCTCCTCTATGCTTGTCACCACATAAGAAATTGTCCTTCCCCCATTGACATTTAGCACAAGTAGGAATTGGTAATATCAATTATTGTCTCGGCAAAAGGATTTTGATATTTTTTATGGTTATAAGAGGCAGAATTATATTAATTGACGAACCAATTGGTAATATTAATTATTGTTTTCTCGATCATCGTTGGACATATCTTGATTATAATACCAGGTAAATGCATATATGTCAACTCCCAACAACTAATACAGCAATAATTTAAAATCAGTACGTCAGGAAGAATAAATCCACGAACATAAGTTTAATACAGACTATAGCTTATCAAGCATCTAAACCATATGCTTTTAAAACAATTCGTCAACTAATGAACCCTCACAGTTTGTTTATACAACACTTGCTGCAATTGGAAAGGTATTGTGCAAGCGTGACTATATTAATTTAATAAAAAAATCAAAGAGGATGAGGAATAATACACAATAGTTGATTTTTAATGAACTCTGTTTTCTGATGTTTTAATAATGGGGAATATTAATGTCATGTTACATGAGAGTAGTTCTTACAGAGAGAATTCAAGTGTGACTCATCATTAAAAAGCAAAAAAGAAAAAAGGAAAAAGAGGAGATACGATTTTCGAAGTGAGAGAAATTAGATAACTATCTCATGTAAAATGAAAGTAGTATTTCCCTTTAATAAAAGAGATAAAAACACTACTTCTCATAATTCTTAATAGTGAGTAGGGATGTAAATGGGTTAGGCCGGCCTACAGAAGCCTACGACCTAGCCTATATTATACCAGACTTAGCCTATTATAAATAGTGAAATAGAACAGACTAAATTTTTTTAAAAATCTATTTAAAAAACAGGCCACGGACTTTTAGGTACATGTCGGGCCTATAAACTTACAGGCCAACGACCTATATCATATTATTTATTTAAAATATAATAAATAAAATTATTATTTTAATAATTTTAAATAATAAAATAAAACTATTTTAGTTATTATTTTAATTGTTAATTATTTAATAGGCTTAAATAGGCTAACAAGCCTATCAAGGCTTTTATTTTTTAAATACAGGCCATGTCAGATTTATAATTTAGAGCCTACACAGGCTAATAGGCCAACCATACACAATATTTTTTTACACAGACCTGACCTATTTAATATTTTTTTACCCCTAATAGTGAGCTCATGCAAAAAATTTATTAATTTAAGCTGCATCAAAATCTCTCTCAATAATTATTTAGCTTCAGTGCGTTTTTTTGTAGGTTTCAAAAAAGACGCAACACGATTCAAAGCCATAGGTCATTAATTAGGTAGGGGAGTTCATGGGTTAAATTGAACTGATTTTTTTTAAAAAACTTAACCGAATTGATTTAAACCAATCAAGTTCTAAGAATCAAATATTTTTTTTATTCCAAACCAGTTCTGCTCAAAAATAATTCGATTTGGTTTAGAACCTGATCGGGTCAAACTTATTAAAAAAATAAAAAAAAATAAAAAAAAGATAAAAATAGAAGACTGTACTAAATAAATAAATAAATAAATAAAATAGAAAGAAAAGGAAAAATAAAAAAAAGAAAAAGAAAATTTAATTCTTGAACTAATTCTTAAAAACTAGTTTGATTCTTAAATTGATTTTTTAAAAATCAATTATTTTAAATACAATACAATACAATTTTTTTTTTTTTTTAGCATACCCATACAATTAGGTCTATTGATGAAGGCCAGAAGCAATTTTTCTTATTTGTTAGCATATTCTTTCTTCCGAAACATATAGCTTGACTTCTAGAAAGTAGAAACGCCAAGTGGCTGCGAGGTTGATTTTTTCAATAATGTTTACATGAAACATTAAATATGTGCTGCAAAACAAATTGTTGTTTTCATTTATAAGATAACTTTGGACAGATTTAGAGCGTGTTTCTTTGTGCTTATAGAAAAAGTAATTTTTGTCTCTTTCTTAATTTAGAAATATTTTTTTATAAAAATTAAAACTATTTATATTTTTATAAAAATATTTAATTTTTGAAAAAAATATTTGATTTTTAACTTCTGTTTTTTTTAGAAGTTCAATTTTTTAGCTTTTAAAAAAAAGTAAGTTTTTAGCTTTTTTGTGACTTCTTTTTTTAAAAGCAAACATCCAAATAAATGAGAATTGCTTTTTTTTTTTTTTGTTGAGAAAAAGCAATTTTTGTAGAAGAAAAAGGCTATCCAAACGGCCTTAGGCATTGTATTTAAATACAAAATTGTGTGTGCTATGAACCAATCTTTCAGCATTAAATTTATTGTGTTTGCACCAGCGTACATACTACCTATGAATATTGATACCATTTAACATCAATGAGGTCGAAATAAAAAATCCTCAGAAAATCCCTAAAACTTCGATGTCATGCATGATTTGCAGCGGGAATTGCATACTCTATTGGGATACTATGTTCATGAGGGAGGCTCTTACAAAATTTTCACTGAGCCATCCAACAGCTCTTCAAAGCATTTCTGACCTTAATGATGAGAATTTGAGAGAACAAACAACTATTTGAGAGAACATTGGCATGGTTGCTATTTTGTTATATGTTCTTTTTTAGAGGAAGCTCAATGGTGTTGTGCTCTTACTAAGTCCTTGAATCTCTTTATATGGGAGCCATTCATGATTCATTGACCATTCCAACAGTGCAACAAAACTGGCATCACAATTCATCTCTATTAATCTACATGTAGAGCATGTGGTACGTACCCACATGGATTTCCCTTTGAGTTAGGAAAGTTTGTCACATCTTTGCCCAACATTGTGACATTGTATTCGTAAAGAACCTTGAGATACACCACCCCAAAAGCTAACTCGGGATACACCACCTCAAAAGCTAGCTCAAAGGGTGAGAGTGTCCAAGGCCTTATAAACTCCACATTAGTTGCACGTACAACCAATGTGAGACTATATATTCTCAAGAGCATGTGATATTCTTCAAGACACGAGGATAGTGAAATGGGTTTGATGTGCATGACTGGCATGTCCTCTCAATTATGGGTGTTCATCAACCGATCCAAACCGATTCAAACCGCGGTGACTGAACCGAAAAACCGATAACCGAATAAACCGAAAATCGAAAAATCGAAAACCGATTAAAAACCGCAAATTTTAATTGGATTGGATCGGATTTTGGATGGGTTGATGAAAACCGATCCAATTCAAACCGATCCAATATATTAATTTCTCTCTACCTACTTGGGTCTTTTCCTAATCATAGCCCAAAAATTTCTAAACCCAAGACCCATTAACCAATCAACTAAACCCAAAAAAAAATTTAGTCACATCACATCAACAAAATTTTATCTTTGAAGAGCTTCATATCTCATTGCATAAAAAAAACTATGTTATAATTTATTAATACTTTTGTATTTCAAAAAAAATAAATTTTCAAAGCCAATATATATAAAAGTTGTTATTTGCACAATAATCATGAAATAAATATTAGGATTTTTAAAAAACCGAAAACCAATCCAATCCAAACCAAAAAAAATTGAATTGGATCGGATCGGATTTGAAAAAAAATTAAAATCGAATGGATGATTATATAATCAAACCGAAAGAATTGGATCGGATGAGTTTTGCTTCCAAA